AAGGCGGAGTCTGAGGTAAGGCTGGCGGCGGCTTGCCTTGCTCTGAAGCAATGACAGCAGCGTCCTAATGGCCGCGGCTCCAGGCGCGCGGGATCTGCTGCCTCCGTTTACACAGGACTAGGTTTGTCAGTTCGAACTAACGTCTCGGCTCCCCCGGCAGCTCTGCTGCTCTGGCTTAACTCCTTCCCTGCCTGACGGAGCCTTGTGCCTGCCAAGGATTAGCGTGACGGTTGCACGTGTGTTGGCAGTGCCAGCCTAGGGAAATGGGAGAGGTCTTCAGGGAGGGGAAAGAGAGAAAAAAAATACGATTCGTTTCAAGGGATGGTTCTGAAAGGGAAGAAAAAATGAGGAGCTGGATTCCTTTGGGGAGGTCTTGACTTGGTCTTTACTCCTATAGCCCAGCAACACGGTCCTCCAATCGGCTTCACTGCGCGGCAGCAGGAGAGCTTCCCTGCGGACCCTTCTCTCGCCTCTCACTTGGAGTTGTCCTCCACCGGCATTGTTGCAGCAGGATTGCTAGTAAGACTTTGCCTTTTATTTGTTTATTGAGTTTTTTTTTTTTTTTTTTTTTTGCTTTCCAGGGTCTTTTAGGTGGGTCTGTGTTGTCTGGGATCTGGCAACCTACTGAGAGTCAGGGTGGTGAAGAGAGGGGAGAGGAAAAATGCCTAGTTCAATCTTGCAAGGGTGATGCTCTTGAAACAATGAAGAGAAGAAGGGGTTAAAAGTTACCCCTGATGATGCTCGGGAAAGCAGGCAGCATGTCAGGAACGTGCATGCTCGCTGCCTTTCTGCGAGACTTAGCAATGTCTCATCTGAAGTCTCTCATATCTGCAAGGCCCCTTGCCATATCTTTTGAAAAAAAAATCCAGTTGACTCACCAGTTGAAACCTCTTGGGTCTATAGCCCTGACCTTGCAGTTGCCGTGGAGCCAAGATCCTTTCAGGCCACCTGAATGGCGTTGAAGCATCCGTGCATGGGTGGGGGTGCGAGTGTTTGGGTGTAGGGGTGGCCATGTGAAAGCTGGCAAAACTCCTATTTTAAATTCCCCTCTCTGATACATTATTTCTTAATTATTTTTGCCAAGCATAACTGACATATACAGGCACGCGTTTCATCTCACGGGGGTAGGAAGTAGTCCTCTCCATTAATGTTTTCTAATGTGTTTGCCTTTTTCTTTGCCAGGGTGTTAATGACTTAATGCATTTGGGGACGCAATACTGAAAAACAACAGAAGAGAAGCTCTTGGCTGGTGAGTGAAAGGTCCCAGGTGGGGCTGGGGAATGCACATAAAGGAAGAGGTATTTTCAGAGTCTTCCTCTTCAGCAAAGCCCAAGTCAGCTGAGCCCCTATAGAGCTGCTGAGGAGAGGCCTGCTGCTGTACGGCCCTGTCTCTCTCCCCTTGGTTAGTCTTGCTCTTGATGGTATGGTGAAACTATATATTAACTCTCATATTCAATAGTGTATTGGTACACGCATCCTGCGTTCTCAGCATGAGCAATGTGTCAGGGTTTATGTATCTAGTAACAAAGACAGCTGATCAAATAATGGCAAGAGCTGTCAGCAAGTAGTTTGCTGGATTAGTAAGTGCTTCAAGGTGGCCAACCTCTTCCTGTGTATGGGCTGTTCCTGTCAGGATGGGTGTGAGTACAACCTTGTGTGTATATTCACACCTGGAAAGTGTATTCAGGACCTATTGCCAAGGCTTGCAGAAGTGCGACACAGAACCTTGCTTGGTCACAAACTGATTTTCATTCACAAGATGTGGAAGCACTCTAAAGGTTTGGCTGTTCTGTCTCAGGATAGAAAAAATCTTGTTTCAGTTGTATTGCACAAACTCCTTAAAATGGCTTGCGCTAGCCATCTCCGGCTGCAAGAAAAACCTTGGTGAGGTTCTGAGTTCTGCGCTTCATGGAATGGTTTCTCGAGGTGGCAACAGCACCATATGTATCATAACATAATACTCATAATACTGAGTTGCCTGTCAGGTCTGTACATATACAGAACATCATCTCTAGGTAGCAACGAAACTTGATCATTAGTGATACTGCTGTTGGTTTGAGGTAGATCCTCCATTTGCCTCCCACAAGAACACAGTGTGAGCATAGAGTGACAGTGGATTAAAAGCTGCAATAGGTTTCCCTCAAAAATTTGCACAAAATTACGTTATCCTAAGGGAGGAGTCATTTGAATGTATAGTGTTAGGAATTAGCTTATTTTATAACTTCTTGAGAAAGAGAGTGGTAGCTGAAGATGATGGTAGATTTACTTCCACTATGAGTGTGCCACAGGTTTAAAACCTGGGGAGCAATACAAAGGCACATAACTCTTGACAGGTATATTTTCCTTTCCAAATTAAGCAGAAGAGCTGATGGTCCCTGGGAGATGAAACCTGGTCTGATATGGTTTATATTTCCTTGCAGGTTGGTTTTACGTAGCGGCAGTAGCCAGGCACTGAGCGTCAGCCAAGCCATGGGCTTTAATCTGGTCTGTTTAATCTGTTTTAGGGCCCGCTGCCTAGACTGCAGTTTTCCCATCGGTTATCCCATGGAGATAACACCTGCCTTGTAGGCTGTTGGCAGCAATTATACCTTTGCCTCACTTTGGTAGACACGGTGATCATAAATAAGGGAGTAAGACTTCGTTTCTACTGGCGTTTGGAAGGAAGTACAACGCTTGCATCTTCTACACTTGGCCCTGGGCTTGTGCTTCGTGTCGTATGCATTAGCAGCCCAGAGCTCCGGCTTCCCTCCCATTGCCCGACGCGCTGACGCTCGGCAAGGGCTGCAGGACAGGGCGGTCGGTGTCCGAAGGGCCGTGCTCAGAGCGGTGTGGCCTCCAGATGCGGCCTCCTCCGCATGCCGCGCGAGCCAGCGTGCCAGATGCGGCCCCTTTCACTTGACTCGACATAACCTTGTATCTAATGTGCAAGAATTGCTATTCCTGGGAATTTTTGCAGGGATAGTGCACAGTGCTCTCGCTCTAGGCCTGGTAGCTGTTTTTATGCTCATGTTGAATGGCTCTATAAACTGCCACACGAGACGGTGGAGACTGAAGCCTCAAATCTCCTCTCCCCCTTCTTTCCCCTGCCATTTTGAAGCTCTTTCATATTGTGGATTAACAACAAGACAAAGCCTCTTTTTTTAACCCTGCATGCATCCTTTGTAGCAAAATAACATCAAGTAGAGCCATTTGAACCAGTGCAGTTCCTTTTTGGACATGAGACAGAGGAGCCTGCATGTAAGATAGGTGTTTGTGCAGCACTGCATGATACTGTATAGCCACACCAAGGGCTTAAAGGGTCAGGAAGCCGGGAGAGGTGCATTATAATGGTTATAGAAAATCTCTTAATGAAGGCGGGTGATTGCAGTCGAGGCTTGGTGCGATTTTGGTGCCTGCGTGGCCGGTTTTGGTCACGGTGCCTCATCCTATTGTCAGTGTCAAGATCGAACGTGTGGTCAGGGCCGGTCTCGGGTCACGCCTGCACTGCACACCCAGGTTTGCCCTCCGTGCGAGGAAGGGGCTGCTGGGCCTGCATCTGGCCTTGATACCAAGTTAAAAAGCAGCCAGGAGAAGCACCTGGAAACTCTTCTACATTTGCTCATCTAGACGTAGCCTGGAAGAAACTGGCAGAGTCATTTCTTCCTGTCTCGCCTGCAAATGAGGTTAATAATTCCCTTCCCTTTTGTCTGTTTGGATGAAAATTCAGGAGGGTGGGGACTGTCTTCATGGAGCCTGGCACAGCGGGACAGTGGCTTTAGCTGGGATTTCTGAGAGACTGTAAGTCATGGAAAGGAGTGTTCCTTAGCAAGGGGCCAAGCCTGGGAGCACGTGCAACATGCCTGTGCTGGTTTCAGAAAATTCACCTTTCCTTTGCATGTGCTTGCAGATGGCCCAGGATGAATCTGGTTCGGTAGAGCTAGAGCACAATTAGAAGTTGTCACTGAGCAGCATCAAAACTGAGCTTGGGAATAAGCATTGGCCGCGTTTCGGGTTTTAGTCCCAGTTTATGAGCGAAGAAATGGGGCAGGGGAGGAAGAGGCAGCACCGTAGCCTTTGCACCCCATTCCTCGGAGGCAGGAAAGGTCGAATGGCTGTGTGTTTTTTCTCACTTGGCAAAAATAAACCCAGCAACATAACAAATATGTCTCTCCCTAAGCTTACGTCTAATGCAATGTTAATCTGCGTGCTCATGTGTGTGTTTGCGCAGGATTTAGAGCATTATAGCAGTTGACTCGGACATATAGCTTTACTCTTGGGGGTGGGGAGCCGAAAGAGGAGTGGAAGGAAAGGGCTGGAAATGGGGGATGCGGTGGCAGAGCGGGCAGGCACCCAGCCTTCCTCCTGGGGGGCGAACAACATAAACCATTAAACATAAGCTGAAGCTGATGTTGCAGATGCACACGGAGGGAGGCAAAGCAGCCGGACTCCACGTGAGCCGGTCCTGTGTCAGATCTTGGGCCGTTTTCCTTCTCGCGCTTCCTTCCGTCCCTCCTTGGTTGTCCCTTTCTGGCCATCTAAAGTTCCATTTTGGATCTGCAAGCTCCTCAGGGAAGGAGCCCAGCGTTTTTCTTTGCAAAATGCTGCAAGCACCTATGGCTGGTTATAAATAGCGAACACGTCAGAAACCTCAGGAGGGTAAACATGAGGATTTCGGAAGGTTTGACATGCAGCAAAATGCCATATATGCATGCTCAGCCATATATATGCATGAACATATGCACATACGCCAGCACCGTGCATTGATAAGGGCATATTCAGCTCCCACCGAATTCAAAGCGTATTACGTGGCTGCGAGCTGCATAGCAGAGCCTGGAAACATGATTTTTTCTTTTAATCACCGAGTTCTCTGGGATCTTCTTCATCTTCTGGCTCAGCGCTCTCTGCGTGGGGCAGGTCCTGGAGGAAGAGTCCCTGTTCCCTTCCACCCCCATCTCTCCCGGCTGGCCGCGCAGGTTGGCGGATCAGCTGAGGGAGTATTTGGAAACCATGGGAACTGCTTGCTTCCACCCAGGCACCCAGCGTTATCTCTCGCCTGGGCAGGGAGGAATTTAGCAAGCCGTGTCCAGGTCCGCGATAGCGGGGAACGAGCGCTGAGGGGCGAGTTCAGCTGCTGCAGCGAGGAGGGGGAGGGAAAGGAAAGCTCCTTTTCTTCAACGGGAAACGATGCACGTGAGACCGAAGCAGCTCTCTGCTGTCATCGGGTGTGCGTGAGAGTGTATGGGCACTGTGTGTATATTTATACACGCTGATGGGGTAGGGAATTGTACGTGTATAGGGTGAAGGCGAGGTAGATTAAATAGAAAAGCACGCTGCCTTTTTGACCTGACTATTTGAACTCTGGAGCAGCCATTCCCGATAACCTTCGTGTCCTTTATTTTGGAGCAGGGTTGATTATTCTCTTGTGCCTCTCTGCTCCACGGTTGCCCCTCTCCCCGCGATGCCTCTTCCCTTTTCCTTCCTCCCTTCCATCCCTAATCTTCCCACCCCTTTTCTCCCATCTGGGCCTGACCCTTCTCTCTTTTTGCTCCTCCTTTCGCAGCCGATCCCTCCCCCTGCTCCTCGGGATCTGCTGGCTGAGGGATTTTTTTTTTTTCCCCCTCCTGCTCACTGGCAGATGTGACAGCTTTGGGAACTGTATCACCCCGGAGCAGCTCTAGCTGGAGTTGAAAAAATCTAACGTGGTTTCCCAGGCAGCAGGAAGGGATCGCTGAGAGCATTTCCATCTCCGACCGCTTGTGCCTTGTGGTAGTGACTTTTATTATTTATGCCTGTAACCTTTCTTATACAGTTGTCAGCAGTGAATGAGAGACTGGAGTCTGCTAGATTATTGTAATATCAGTGTCACAGTATTTGTGTTGTTATATTGAAGGGACGTTGTCTGCGTTTAAATACAGGTTCGGCTTGATTTACAAAATCTAAATTTTATATGCATAGTACAGTCTTAGGAATTTCTTCCTGGATTAGAAAAAGGCCTGTTTTATGTTTGATTTTATTTAAGCATTCGCTAGGTGGGTATTGGAAATACAAATAAATAGCTCTTGCATGCAAAGCACAAAGTGGAAGGAGCCTGGTTAAATACAGACCTGCTCAATGAAAGGCAAAACCGACAGAGATTATTGCAATCCACTGGATTTCAAATAACTATTTTTAGTGTATGAATTTCATTTGATATTAATGCAGCGTAGCTTTAAACCACCTGTCTGATATGGAAACGTCTTTATGATCAAAGATTGATGCTGACCATATAAAGCAAATATCATTAGGTGTCCACAGGCATATTATTTTTGGAGTTGATTACATTTTGCTGTTTTCAAGAGTTCTGCTACAAGTCCATAAGGTAGGTGCAGGCCGTGTCACTTAGTCACCCTAATAGTGTCCAGGAACTGAGCAGCTGGGCTTAGGAAGTATGTTTTTCTATATGGGAAGTAAGCGTGTTCCAGGTGTGGATTGACGAGTGCACTGATTTACTGTAAACGCACAGACATGGTGTTTGTGCTTGTGCAAACTGATATTCTGGCACGCAGCCACTCTTCTACTTGGGACTGAATTATCACCCAGGTTTTAATAGGGAGCATTTTTTAATCTGGTAGTTCGGGTAGTAGCATTTTCCTTCAGGTTCAGGTAACCATACTACAAATGCTCGCGCTTATGGCATTTGTCATAGCACATTTTACAGGACCCCTGACCATGTGAAGCAGTTAATAAGTCAACTTGAAAGCCAGCAAATGCTCTGCCCTGAACATCTTGATATTACGAGGATGAGCTGAGGAATGAAGCTGCACGTGCTGGAGCAGGAGCCAGAGAAGGAAAGCTATGGGTTAAAACAGTAACTTCACTCCACCTGGAAATGCCCCTCTTCTGGTGGATCAAGGATTTAGCAGTTGTCATGACTGACATGTAGTCAACGGCAAGGAATGGAAGCACTGCATTTAATACTGCAGATATAATTCCTGCTTTCCTTGCAGGCTGTAAGAGCCCCTCAGCATCACCAGCTGTCCGTCTAGATAGCATGGGCACCACCAGCTATTACAGTATCTTCTTTTTCCAGGATTGCCTGCCTCTTACCCCTAAAACGTGCTTGGATTTCCATTGGGGTGCTTTCCAATAAAGGTTGTTTAGCCTTTTTTGTTCCTTTTTTCAGCTATAAGGCATCTCCAGTAGGCTCCTGGATGAAGGGCATGGCACAAAGTGTGCTGATTTTTAAGGCCAGTGTCTCCTAGAAATGTGTGTGTGTGTTTACTGCACAGCGAGCTGTTGCTTTATGGATTCTGCACCTCTGATGTTGGCAAATCAAGGGTTTTGCAAGGGATCTCTACAAACATGAAGAAGGTGGGAAAAATCCCTACCTGATGTCAAGGAGGAGGTTGTCTGCATGTCTCTGTAGTGCCCTATAATGCCTCACCTTAGGCAACATTAGCGAGAGGTCAGTGCTAATATTAATGCAAAACCAACCTTGGAGATTGGCTGATACCCCAGGGGGTCTGTGCGGACATGCAGAGGGACATGGACAGGCTGCAGAGCTGAGCGGAGAGGAACCTCATGAAGTTCAACATGGGCAAGTGCAGGGTGCTGCCAGCAGGCAAGGCTGCTTGAAACTATCTTTTAGATAGTGAAATAAATAAAAATTGTGAGGAAAAGAGCTATTGTATCAGAATCCTAGGAAGAATCAACCTTAAGAGGAAAATAGTTACAGGGTTGTATTTCATTGTTTCAGGTAATCCCGAAGAAGGGCTTAAATACAGATACTCTAGTGTCTATAAACTGTCCAAAGCAGGTGGGAATTTCACACAATTTATTTCTCATAGCACCTGAAACCCCCTCTAGATGCTTTCTGCCTTCAGAAGGCTGAGCATAGATGGCTAAGCAGAAAGTTGTTAGCGGAAAGGGCACAGCATAAAACATTGTCTTTTAGGCAATTTATATCTACCAGTAGAACTAAAGCTGCCCAGCTTTTTCTCAAGCTAGAGAGCTTTAGCACTGAATTACCTAAAATGTCTTGGCACTGGGTTTCTGCTTGGGCTTACCTCAGTCCATCCTACGCATTGGGCATCCAAGGCTCAACTATCCTTAATTATGAAAAAGGTTTCGTTCTATCCAGTTGGAACCTCCCATGTTTCAACTTATGCACGTCATCGCTCATCCTCCCATCACGGTGCTGCTGTGAAAAGCCTGGCTCTCCAGAGAAGATCTCCCTACGCCCGAGCTGTTCGTTCATGGAAAGGGGACTCTCTTCCCCCATTCTCCCTGTCCCTCTTTCCTGAAGAGGTTGTATCCCTCCATCCATCCATCCATCCATCCATCCATCCATCCATCCATCCATCCCTCACACACCATAACATGGTTGTAATTCTGTGATTGCGCATGGAGCTGCTGTTCTGCTTTTTCCTTCATGCCTTTCCAATTTCAAGAAGGCCTCAAAGTTTTGTTTATTTTCTCTCTACATCTTTCCTTTTTTTGGGGGGGCGGTGGGGGAGGAGGGAGGAGCTATAAAATCTAAGTTCAGCTTTTGAACACCTTGGGAACATTCAAGTGTCAGCTGTTTTTGGCTTGTACATGTAATGGTTGTTCACATAACTTGCATCTCTTCACCCCCAAGGGAAAGGAATCTTAGTTATCAATTTAACTTCCTCGGCTACCTGCTGCCAGAGTGTGTTTTTCCTCAATTTCCCCCTCCTTTCTCCCTCTTTCTCTTTCCTCTAACTCCCCCTTTTTAAGCTAGAAAAACATAGATCCATAGTGAGTCTTGGACAGCTCTTCCTTTGGCAGCAACTCTGTTGACTTTAAATAGGACTCAAATGTATATTACTTATTCTGCATAGTCTTAAATAATCAGTGAGAAGACAGTCTGAGCCCTCTTCAGTGGGCTAAATCAGTGCTACCTTACTGACTGGGCTCTAAAGACAAACCTTTACACCAAGGACAAGCTTGTAAAATGTAAACCTGTATCTAGTACATACTGTTTAATTTTTATACTAGACAAAACAAATTTATAAAAGTGAAGGAAACAAAGTGGTAGGAGCCACAGTTATAGTAGTCTGGTTATGTTTTTTTTTTTTTTCTTCTGGAATAGGAGCACTGTTTCACAGTGGATAAAGCACTGGAAAGGTCATCAGAACTCCCAGAAGTTTGCATCCAGCTCAGTCATTGACCTGGTGGGTCGTCTTGAGCAAGTCATTGCTCCCTCTTTGTCTCCCTTTCCATGTCCACAAAAATCATGCGGTCATGTCAGCTACACTGTTGAAGCGCTTGTCACTGGGGGATATCCATAATATAATTAACGTAACTAATATATGATGCTACTGACTGGGCAAGACATTCCTATGCTTTCAGGAGCACTGATGGGATTTGTTTCTCTGATTCAGGCATCATGTTCCGCAAAAAGAAGAAGAAACGCCCGGAGATCTCAGCTCCGCAGAACTTCGAGCACCGTGTCCACACTTCTTTTGACCCCAAAGAAGGCAAATTTGTGGGCCTGCCACCTCAATGGCAGAATATTCTAGACACGCTGAGGCGGCCAAAGCCCGTGGTAGACCCGTCGAGGATCACCCGGTTGCAACTCCAGCCTATGAAGGTAAGAGGAAAATTATTATCTTTCTGTTCACTGGGTGAATGGGTAGGCCCAAGCTGAGGCAATGTTCCCAGTACCCAAATATACTCAAGGCAGGGTAAGAAATTAAGTGGATGAGAGGGACTAGGCTTTGATATCACTGTTGGCTGGTGGAGAAACAGTAAATTCATCAGAAACAACAAAGGAGACCAGTGCCCTGTGGTAATGTGGCTGTTCAACCTCACCAGCTGGCAGCCGCCGCTAAAGCAAGGACCTGTGAAAGCTCTCATGGCATCTGTCAAGGACTAGGATGTGTCGCTGTCACACACAGCGAAGGGAAGAGGAGAGTCCATGGAGGGACCCGTTATAGCATGTTTGTCATTCCGTGGGCGAGCCAACTTGGCTAGTGATGGAGCTGAGAGGGAAGCCCGAGTGGGAGAGAGCTGGGCAGCCCTAGCCTGCTGCTTATGGGTGGCTCAGTGAAAGACAGGGAGCCAAGTGGCTGACTTCTGGCTTGCTCAGAGTTGTTGAATGAGTGCAAATGCAAAAGAGAATTTAGCTTTTCCTTTACTGCTGAGTGAGAACTCAATCTAATTTACTGGCCTTTGAGAACTATTAACCCTAAACGAAAGTCAGATTTAGATGAGAAAGGTTTATCGAATAGGAGTTAAACATAAAGTGGGACCTAGTAATCAAGACAATTTTTCTCACACAAGTCCTTCATTAGGGAGCAACAGGTCACTGATCCCTGTACACAGGTGAATTTAGATGGTTATCTTCCTCGGATGGCCATTGACAGCGTGCAACAGGAGACTGTGTGTTTGTAGGTGACTGTAGGGACCTGCTGTGTGAAGAAGGTCAGACCAAGAGGTTCATGAAAACTTCTTGAAAAAGGCAATGAAAGATGGTGATAGAATTATTGTGTTTAAAGTCTTGGCCGCCTCTGGGAAAGCCCTTCAGGGCCTAAAATCTGATGGGTGGGTGATAAAATAGAGGTATCACTGCTTGGATTTCAGAAGGGATGTAAAGGAAAATAATTGTCAACTTGTTGAATGTAGTTTTTAGTGTGCAGATGCTTAAAATGTGGCGAGTGAAAGGAGCTGCCTGGAAATGTTAATGCAAAATTCAAGTTAGAATTTAAATAGCATATCAGGATCTTTGAGCAGAATACTGATTAAAGAATTTAAGAAATACTTGCTCAGGAAGAAGAGGTTAAAGAAAAAGAGATGAGGTATTAAAGAAGGTAAAAAGGTGGTAAAAAGAGAGGCCCCCTCTCTTTTATGGGGACCTGAATCTACCTTGTGGTTCAAAATGTAGTAGGAGATAGGGCTCCCAGTGCAGAGGAGGGATAGCATGTGTAATAAGAGCCCAAGTTGGCCAGATCAGGAGCTCTGTAATGAGTGAAAAACGCAGCAGGATTGCCCAGGAGGGTGGAAACTAGGTCAAGCCATAAAGGGCAAGGAAAAAGGCAATTTATGTAGGAACAAAACGGAAAGGCCAAGAGCCAGAAAGAGAGATTCTATTCTCAAAGGACTTAAAGGGCACTAAGGAAACAGATCACAAGTGCGTTGAGGAGGAGGACAGTGACGAGGGAGAGAAGTGGTTCATGCTTATCGTGGGAGGGAGCTAATAACGGATGATACTGATGATATTTCTTCCATTAATGATATTTCTTCCATCTTCATTGAAAAGGTTAACCGTGATCAGTGGGCTAGCACAATTAACAGCAGCACAAAGGAGTAAGAACTTAGACTGGAGTAAGAAAAGAACACATGAGACTTCTTAGCTAAGTTAGATACTTTCAAGTCAACTGGGCCTAAGAAAATTGAGGAATCAGATCAGATCAGTCAGAATAATTTCAGTTTCCAGAAAGAAACTGGAACAAATAAGCAAGCAATCTATTTGCAAGCACTTCTTAGAAGATTATGGAGTAATAGCTAGCAGTCAGCATGGATTTGTCAAGAACATGTCATATCAAGCAACCCAGTTTCCTTCAGTGACAAGGTAACAGGCTTTGGGTCAGGAAGAAATGATAGATCTCCTATATCTTGACTTTAGTGAGGCTCTTGAAAGTGTCATCCATAACAGTCCCAGAACAAACTAGGGAAGTTTTTCTTAAGTAGGAGGAAAAATACGCTCAAAGAGTAGTTTGAGCTATCACTGACACCAAAAAAATATGCAGAAAGATTTACAGGAGTTTGTCCCGAGTCCCGTATTGGTCAGCACTTTCATCCATGACTCGAATGACAGGATAGAGAATAAGCTCATTAAACCTGTGGCTGGTAAAAGCCGGGAGGAGTTGCAAAACTTCAGGAAAACAAGACTGGCATAAGCAACTGTCTTCAAAAACTAAAGCAGAAGTTAAACTCGTACTGTTGGTTTTCTTTCCCATTAAGCATAAATACTCTGTCAGACTGCATTACGTAGTTGATTATTTCTGCCAAATTTGATCGGAATAAATTCTTGTTCAACAATTCCAATAGTAAAACCACACTTTTTTTTTCCTTTCCTTTTTTTTTTTTTTTTTCTTTTTTCCTTCTCTTTTGGGGCTAGATGGCCCCATTAGGCTAAGCCTGTTATGGGGCTCCAAGAAGGCAGAGTCCTGAATTCAACTTTCATTGTTTTTTCCCTTTTTCTTTTTGATGTGTTTTGTTTGTAAAAGCAGAGTTTTATTTTTAAAAAATATCACTTATTTTTTAACCAGGAGGTGAGGGGAGCTCTAGAATGTGTTGCCTGTAGAGGCCATAGCATTTCTGTCCTTGGAGAAATTTCCTTTAGAGACCAAGTTGGACAGAATTTGGACTAATTCAGAAGGATGATCAGATCTTGATCTTGATCTGGAGATTTCTTCTAACTTTGAGTTTTTCTTTTTCCTAATTGGAGAAATACTGAACCGTAAGGAAATGCTGCCCTAGGCAAGCATGAGGAATGGTTTGGACGTGTCCTGATGAGTATTCTGTGACTTGGGGACATGGACTTTACATCTTCCTGCTCCAACCCACCTATTTACTCCTCCTAACCAACTGCAACAGTGAGAGAAGCTGAAACCAGTCTTCCGTTTCTATTAATTCAAATGGGAACAAGATTTTTCCCAGCCCTGTGGCACATTTTAGGGGCTGGGTTTCTGGCTGTTTTGGTATTTTTTTCCCTGTCAGGTTTGGTGCAAAAGCGATGAAACCAGTTTGAGGAGTCAATGTCTTAAGCAAGTTGTTTGCTTGGGCCGGGGAGGAAGGTGCACGCGCTGAAGGAGGTGTGTTGCTACATGAGCAATGAACACCAGAAATTTCCATGCTGTCAGTTGAATTGTCCTTTTTTCACTTTGTTTGAAACAATCTTTGTGCCCCACCTTCCTCTTTTGGGTGCGGAGCAAACCAGATGCTCATTTTGTGCACCGTGATAGCTCTGAAACTGCCAAAGCGGCTGTTTTGCACCACTAAATATTAGGCTTAGTGTGATTAATTCAAGCATCTCTAGAAGGCCCCTGGCATTTAGTTTGCAAACAGGAGATTGCCATCACTCCAGGGAAAGATTTTCTTCAGGCAGAGAGTAGGAGTGATCCTATACTATGAATTTCCATGAAGAAATGAAGCGTTTGGGTTGCCAGCACTAAAAAAGCTTCTGCGTGTGCCCAGCTCCCCAGTAAACAAATGGGAGACTACAGAATATACCGACAACTTCAAGTGTCCTGCTTGTGCAGTGCTGTTGCTTGCTTGGATGGAAGCCTTGTTCTTCATCGTTTGCTTACAAGGCAGTTGCGAGCTGCTCTGACCCTGTGTTCATCTCTTTTAATTATAATAGCTTGGCAGGACAGAGGAGGGATGCGGTGCTGGAACGCTGTGGGCTTCACTAGTCAGAAGCAAGATGCGTTAGCAAAAATCGTAGCAAACCACAGTTAGAGCTAGACTAAAGGAGGCTGATTACAACTTATAGAGAGATGGACCTTGTGCTGGGCGCCTACGGAGCCTAAATTAGTGATGAAGCACAGCAGGAGTTCAGCACAAGAATTTTGGGAGTGCTAAAAAACATCCCAACTTTGCTCTTATACTGCCCTTTAGCAGGTGGGTGCAACAGAAGAGCTTCATTGCTCTGGCAGGGAGCAGTGCTACCTCTGCGCTACTAAAGCAGCTAAACCCAGTGATCCCTTTTTTTCCCCTCAGTAAAAGAGCAGACCCACCCCTACTCCCCCAACCCTTCCCCCCCCAGGCCCCTGTACCCGTCGGCTTGGCAAATGGAACTTCTTGTGGGCATGCCCTGAACCTCAAGTTGCAGAGCTCTAACTTGGCTTCCCCCCGCTTTGCCTCTGTTTCACAGACCGTGGTGAGGGGCAGCACCGTGCAGGTGGAAGGCTACATCTCTGGCATCCTCAGCGACATCCAGAAGCTTTCTGCCATCAGCTCCAACACGCTGCGCGGGAGGAGCCCCACCAGCAGGAGGAGGGCTCAGTCCCTTGGGCTCCTGGGGGAAGACAGACCCCCGGACATGTATCTTCAGAGCCCAGAAGCAGACTGGGCAGACAAATACGGAAACTACCTCAACTGCAACGGGGGAACCAAGGTGACCCGCAGGCAGACCATGTGGCCGGATTATAAGCCCCGCTTAGACGGGCAGCCCCATCCCAACGGCATGGTTACGAAAGCCCAGTCCCTGGGGCCTTCGGAGTTTCAAGGTGCTGATGGCAGCTATGTGCAGCGGGCCCCCGCGCCACCCGCGGAGGAGGGCGATAACCCTGGAAAAAAGAGCTCCGAAGACTGGCCTCAACCTTGCCCCGGGGGACAGGCAACCTCCAGGCCCTCAGGAGAGGGCAGTCCTAGCTCCAAATCGCGGGAGAACAGCTTGAAGAGAAGGCTGCTGCGAAGCGTGTTCTCCTCGTCTGGTGGCTCAAACAAGTCAGGCCCTTCCCTGCAGCTAAAGGTAGTCAGTATTTCTAAACATGTGCAGTGGTGCCGTTGCGTTTCCAGAGCTTGCTTGCACCGCTGAACAATTTTAGTTGCAAACAACGTTAGCGCTATGATTAATGGTGGAATTGAGGTAGTTCTGGCCAAAGCAGAGGAAACATATAGTCTGTGCAAGCTTTGCAGCATATGTTGCTGTGTATAGCCCAGATTTGCTGCCACATCTACAGGCTTATTGGCAGAGCTGCACTTGGGAGAGGCCAGGTTGGGAAGGAGGTAGGTGACTTTTTCATTTTTGCCTTTGTGAAGTAGTCAAAGCGTAAGTTAAATGCATTTATACTAACATAAATGTGCCTTGGCTATTTGAAAATTATCCGTAACTCGCAGTAGTGATAAATACTTTGGCCTGTGTAAGCTAGAACTACTTTGGGCAAATCTGGTTGGTTACAGTTGTGTCGGCCGACCGGCCCACAACAGAAACATTTGCATTAACAGGACTGTCAAACAGGAGCTCTGACTGTTGGTTTTTGGCAGGGCTTACAGCTCCATATCCCCCAGGAAGAATGTCCTGTGAATGGATGACTCCATTTTTATCACACTAGGAGGAAAGCTCTGGTTACTGTTACTGGAGAGGAAACACAGCCCTTCACTGCTTCTAATTCATCGCAGGCTGACCCAGGACTCCATGTCCTTGCACAGGTGTTGAGGGCTTGCAGAGATGCCCTGGGCTGCTGTTAGGCCAGGCTAATTTCTATCAATCAGAAGAAGATGGCAAGAACCTCTGGCCAATCATGGGAGAGGGATTTTTAAAGGAATGCAATTCTTGGGTAGCACAAATCATGTTTACCTGCCACCTCAGTGACTCTAGGCTGATGGGTAGTAGCTGGAGGCCTGTCCCTGAGCCCGCAGGAGCACTGAGCACCTCTTCCTTCTCCAGCAAGAGCATCTTTACGTTACCTTTGCACTCTTAAGGGAGGAGTAAAGGCTACCAGTGGGACTGCATGTGCTTTTGGGGGTTTGTCCTTGAGCTACTTAGCAAAAGGAGTAAGAAAGACCTTGGGGTTAATCCTGTTCATCAGCTTGGTCTGATGAAGGATCTGGGTCAATGCTGACCGTTATTCATCTAAGCTGGTCATAATAGCCCCCAGTGATGAAAATCTCCGGCTTCCTTGGTACGGAAAGGACGACACGTAGCTGTGATGTGTAGGCAATGCCTGATGACAGATGGAATGGAGTAAATGCATTGCAATGGTGCAGTGCTCTTTGCTCTTGACCCAATATCAGGGGTAGGAGGGCAGCGACTAGTAACATCTCAGTGTGTCTGCAGGCTGAAAATGCAAGCATAGGGATTGACAAATTATTACCAGAGCAGGAAATAACACTTAGAGGTGGCTGGCCGGACATGTGTGAGCTTGCACGCGTGTTGTGTCCTTTCGCACGCTTGAGGTTGTGTAAGAACATTTTTTGTTGTTGTTTGCGCTCAGAGGGCAAAAATAAAAGAACTGAGGAGTACATAAGTCCTTGCTATGAGCATGTCTCCGCAGGAGTGCAGGGGTGGAGCTGCTGAAGGAGGAGGCCGGGAGTGACTTGGGACGGGCAGCTGGTGTTTTGCGCTCCGGCACCGCAGCTCCGATACCAGCACCTACCAAATCACATTCTCACACATCAGGGTATGGGGGGGTGTGAGAGCCACATGCATGTTAGACTTCTGCAGATTTTCCTGTTGTCAAAAGCTCTTGATTAAAAACCGAAGTGTGTGTAATTAAATTCTATACAATTACTTTCTCTCCGAGACAGAGAAAATGAGGGCTGTCTTTAAAATCTCTCTGTTGGCAGTGTTCAGTTCCCATAGCCACATTATTAACTTGTATTAATACTCTGTCTGTTTGGTGAGACAGAAAGGCCTCTTCCTTTGAAGTTTTTATTTCATCCTGTGATACAAATGACTGGTTTGCTCTTTCTGAAGTTGCTACCTTGTCTGCCCCACTAACTTGTTTCATACCTACCATGCTAGATGTTGTTGAATTTTAATCCCTCAACACGAGCAAGGCGAGTATTAGCATTTCAGATTTATGCTTCATGGAGACCCGTGCGTAGCACTGGCATGGGAATGCATATCCTGAAGCCACATTACCTCTGGCTGCGATCTCACTAGGTCTTGCAACGTAAACAGGGCTGGGCCTGCTTGGTTCTGTGAGTGGGAAGTCTCCGGGGAGCCTCAAGTGCTTCAGGACAGAGTGCTGCTAAGTCAGAGTCGTTGCAGGCCAGGGACGAGTCACTAATGTGTCAAGGTGGCCGGTGTGTGGAGCTGCAAGTGTCACCGGGTCACCTACAGCCCTTCTGGTTCACGGGGCTTTGCTCAGGGCTAATTCTGTCTCTGATCAACCGCTGTGCTCTGCAGGTACCCATGGAAGGCGCGGAGAGGGTTTTAAGTAGGCAGAATGTAATTACCCAAAGGGAATTAGGCCAAGACATCAAAGTAATTTACAGCTCTGGCATGAATCCTCTTTTCCTTTTATATATAGGAACATCAGAGGCACGGAGGGATGCAGGAGTTTCAAATTCACTGAAACTCAGATTATCCCTGTGTTTAGGTGGCAAGGTTGGAATGCTCTTTAGCAGCTTTTTTCTTCTTCTTTTTTTTTTTTTTTTTTAAGATCCAGCTCACTGAAGACAGGGCCTTCTCCTAAAGTGCCTCTGTGTGGATGTCCCCAAAATGTAGCACCCATCCCGTCACTGATTCTTGAAACTACAGGGTCATGTAGCTTATCCTGTGCAGGTTTGGAGACAAGAACCTAGAGCACTTTACTCCAGTTTGCTACAAAACACATCAGGCCTGTGTGGCCTAACACACAGCTGATGTCTGTGACCTTGCCTTGTTAATCTAACCAGCACTTTCTTCCTTTCTTCTGCTTTCGTATGAATTCTTCTCCAAGCCTAACGCGTTCTTCAGGCCCCAGCAATGGGGCTCACCACGCAGCCTTGCAGCCAAAGCCCAGTCCCTTCCGCCCGATCAGCCGGCACCCGATTTCCCCAGGATGATCTCGGAAGCTGGAACGCCCCAGAAGTCACAGGCGGTGGAGCAGGCGGTTGCGTTGCCCCAGGGCCGACCGTCGCCAGCAGGATCTCCTCGAAACCGGCAGACTCAGACGAGTTCCAGCAACCTCCACCTTCCCCAGGACTCTTCGGTGAAAGGGCAGCCGGCTGGCGAGGACCCGGTGGTTGTGACTCATGAGCAGTTCAAAGCTGCCCTCAGGATGGTGGTGGACCAAGGGGACCCTCGGACTTTGCTGGAGAACTACGTGAAAATCGGTGAGGGGTCCACAGGAATTGTCTGCATTGCCCGAGAGAAGCACTCGGGGCGACAAGTGGCAGTGAAAATGATGGATCTCAGGAAGCAGCAGCGCCGGGAGCTCCTTTTCAATGAGGTGAGTAGAGCAAGGAGACGTGGGCTTCTGCTGTCCACCAGAAAGCCACGGTGGACATAGGAGTAAAAAGAAGGGATGAGCAAGAGATGTCTTCCTTTTAATGCTTGTACCAAGAGACCGACTGATGGGGTGAGTTCTGTGTTGTGCTCAGAGGGTGCTGTGTGTTTCCTTAGTGGGGAGGAAGATTGAGTTTGGGTAGTGACGGAGTGGTGGTGAACTGTGTCCCTTGTGTTACTCCAGGTCGTGATAATGAGGGACTACCAGCATGTCAACGTAGTAGAGATGTACAAGAGCTACCTAGTGGGAGAGGAGCTTTGGGTGCTGATGGAATTCCTGCCGGGAGGCGCCCTTACGGACATCGTGTCTCAGATCAGGTAGGAAGCCGAACCCCGAACCACCGACACGTGTCCCCACCTGAGAGGCAAGAGCAGCAGAGTGGAAATCTCTGGGGAGAATGGTTTTCCCAAGAGAGCTTGATGCTTATGACTGCAGTGCCCTCAAAGCACAAAACTTTGTAACTGTTGATCTATTTGAAATATGTGATAATACTTCTGATGTAGAAGAAGGGAATGCATTTCAGCACTGATCTCTTCATGTGTCCAATATTCATTTACTTGATGACCTTCTCTGTAAAATGCAGTATACATAAAAAGTATCACGTTCTGAATCTGTTCCATTCTGGCCAGGAAACTCATTGAGTAACCGAAATACCACCCAGAAATAATTTTCTGTGGTACAGCCTTAGTGAGGTGGAATTTGTGGCTGACTGTTCTGGAGAAGTGAAGCAGAACCTTGAGAACTGGACCCCATCCCAAATTTCATTGCCTAAAGATAGCAGCAAATAGAGCTACTGGACACTCTCCTAAATTTGTTTTTGCATCCATCCACTTCATACTCATTAATGCCCAAAGCCTTTCTATAAGGGCAAACAAATTGTTCTCCAAATGGCCTCTGCAGAGTCCCACTCTCAAAGCGTTCTGGTGATGCAGTTGAGATGATTTTGCCTTATCTGTGACCCAGGGGCACCTTCCCCTTCTTTCTGATTCTGAGCAATCCAGTAAGACTGTAAATTGGTGCAGGGAACTCCTGCCATGATGAGCCTTTCTCAAGGTTCAGAACCTTAACTGGATTATAGGGAGACTAGTACTGCTAACACATGGTCCTGAAGGATGCTGAGTTATAGCACTGCAGGGCAAGTGCAACTCCATTGCTCCTAGCTCATACTAATAGATCAAGGAAACTATTAATAAAACTCTTCTGAAGACGTTTGTGAAGGTCCGGGTAGCTTGTATGCACCAATTAGATTGAATGGGATTGTGGGATCTTAGCCTAGATGTGAGTAATTTTATGAAGGCTTCCTTTGAACCTTTGCTGCAGATAAGGAATAGGATGTGTTATTGCCATAGCAATTAACAAAAGTGAGCTGCAAGACTTTGTCATATGGGGCCAGACTATTGTCAGTGGTGGGCAGCAATGGGACTAGAGGTAACAGTCACAAACTGAAGCAGAGGAAGTTCGGCCTCAATCTGAGGGAAAATTTCTCAACTGTGAGTGTGCCCAAGCCCTGGGGCAGATTGGTGGGAGTTTGTGGAGTCTCCTTCTCTGGAGATCTTCACATGCTGTGTGGATGTGACCCTGTGCAGTGTGCCCTATGTGACCCTGCATGTGCGGAGAGGTTGGACTAGGGCATCTCCAAAGATCCCTTCCAACCTCAGCATGATTCTGTGATCATGTTTTTCAGAGAGAAAAATGCCCTATTGAGCTCATCATTAAGTATTTGCTGCGGGCGATAACTGATTTGCGTCTTCAGGCTTGAGATAATCCCCCAGTAATCTTTCTTATGTTCAGCAGTCCCTTGTCTGAAACCAAATTCTGTACCTTACAAGCTAAAAATACACATCTCTGATAGAACCACAGAGTTCAGGAGGGCACCAGCTTTTCCCACTGCCATTGCACTATGAAACAGAGCAAGCACCGTCCCTAGACCGGCTGGCTTCTGTGTTGGAGAAATCCATGGTTAGCTTTCATCCCTCTCTCTTCAGAGCTTAAACCATAATGTCAAAAGTAGCCCCTGCCACCCTTTCAATAGGTTCCTGCTGTTGGCATGGCACTGCACAGCCATGATAAGCAGTGCCCTGCTCACAGCTGCACGATCCGTTTGGCAGAATGAGGTGTGGAAGAGCACAGAAGAAAAGCAGGCATCAGTCTCTCAGATGATGGTCCCCTTTGGCAAATTCCTTCCCGAATGTCAGTGCACAGAGGTTGCTTTCCTGCAGGCAAGAGGTGCAGGAACAGTCTGCCCAAACGTGCCCTCAAAAGCCCTCTGCTCCTCAGGCCTACTTGCACGTGTGGGTCTGAGGAGGTATCACGTGCCTTCCTGAGCCCTCAGTGGAGTTTGGTCTGAGGAAGCATTGCAACGGAGTTCTCCTGGTAGCCTTTGCAATACTCAACCTCTACCATTCCGTCGGTGTGAACGGGTGGAGTGTGCTGCCACGGGCCACAGTTGCAAGAGACAACTTTCATTTCTACTCATGCTTGATCATGAGGCTTCCCGTGTGGTGTTCCAGAGAGCAAGAACTTGTGAACATAAGGTTCCTGGTATTCACACGTTGCATGTTGATGGACAGAGTTGTAAAATTCAGAAATTACAGTGTCTTATATGTATTTAGTTAGATACACAAAGAGTATCCCTCATGAGTATCCTCATGAGACCTGTAAGGAAACCCTGCGATCCCCATCAAATTACTCCTTTAGTTCCTTTCTGGGCGAGATTGCACAATGTGCCTAGTGAACAATAGCTTCACTCTAGCTGCTAATGACTAAAATAAATAAATAAAAGGAAAGCTGTCTCAACAGTCACTGCAGCATCTTGGCACGCGGAAGCAATCATGCCTATCAGAACTGCTTGAAGCAGCGTCTTGCGAAACGAGTTTAGATAAAAGGCTTAAAGCCCAATTTCTCTGAACTAGCCTTACGAAAATGTAGAAATGCTAATCATCAGGCCAAAAAAATGCTTTCAACAGTAAAGGGTAGTCTCCAGACAAGGTTTCGTTGCAATAAAGTCCAGGCTTTATCTTGATTTAGCTTTTGGCAATTCTCTCTTTTATTGTCGTCATGGTTGTGGCAAATCAAAATAGGTTTGTGCAGCTGAATATCAAACGTGCAGTGCACCTTTAAAGAGGAGTTGTGTGGTCGCACGCTCTACAGCCCGGGACACTGTGGCTCTACACCTTCGTCTTTAATTTCAGGCTGAACGAGGAGCAGATTGCAACAGTGTGTGAGTCAGTGCTGCAGGCTCTCGCGTATCTTCACGCGCAGGGGGTCATCCACCGAGACATTAAGAGCGACTCTATTCTGTTGACCCTGGATGGCAGGGTAAGCTTCCTCGCGCAGGTCGTTTCCTGCAGCTGATTTAGACTTTCTCTGCCTGCTTATTTTCCTCTCTCTTTGCTATCTGTGTTTCTGCCTTATCCTCTTACCTCCTTTGTCTTCTTTATCTTTGGTGCTTCCCTCTGTGGTTGTTCAAAATTTGTTGTCAAGGTGGGTTGTTCTTCTCGTTGCACAGGTAAAACTCTCAGATTTTGGATTCTGTGCTCAGATCAGTAAAGATGTACCTAAGAGAAAGTCCCTGGTAGGAACGCCCTACTGGATGGCTCCAGAAGTTATTGCAAGGATACCATACACAACTGAGGTAAGGGAACGTTCCCTAATACCACAAGAACTAGCAGATAATATTTGGAGGTGTCATGGGAAAGTAACTGCTGACTTCTCCAGGGAGATCATAGTGTGACTTCATATTTAATTGTGACAATATCAGTATTTCCTTAAAAAAAAAAAAGGGGGGTGAAAAAAAAACTACCTTATTCTGCTTCAGGGTATCACCGTATCTTGATCATATTCCTGAAGCTTGGAATTGGCCTGTATCTGCCACAGTGTGGACAGGTGTTGGCAAGAAGCAACACGTGATGAGATAGGGATCAGTAAACCAGACTGAATGGCACGAGGGGAGGACAAGGGAGGTGGGGAGAGCAGAGAAGATGCACATGGCTGCTCTGGAGCTGTGGGGCAGGTGGCAGCCAACTGATCAGCTCCGTTTACCGGCAAGCCGAGTGTATGACGGGCAGTTACCCGCAGACCTTTGCAACACAGGCACGGCCTAGTCCTGGGCTGGAAAGCCCTCGTTGCCTAGCCGTGGTCAGGGATCCAGTAGCATTAAGCTGGTTAATGTTTTACTCTCTCCATAACGTTTGCCATAGGTCATGTGACAGTCTGATGCAAGCAAGCAAGGGACACATCGCTCTGAACTGTGTGTATTGATATGATATTGGCTCCTACAGGTGGATATCTGGTCTCTGGGGATCATGGTGATAGAGATGGTAGACGGAGAACCCCCCTATTTCAGTGATTCTCCAGTCCAAGCAATGAAGAGGCTCCGTGACAGTCCTCCTCCCAGGCTGAAAAACTTCCACAGGGTGAGCATACAGGCAAAGCCCTTGGGAACCTGCCAGTTAGGACGAGGACACTGAGTTGCTGAGGGTCAGGTAGATGGTCACTGCTAACAGCTGCTCCCCACGAAGCTGACTCTGAAAGTGGTCTTGCTAGGACAGGGTTCTTGGGCAACTGTTTTGGGCCTGGTGCCTCAGAGGATGTGGGCTGCTGCTGACAGCTAGTGGCCGCTTTGGGAAATAGCCCAAATAATTTAGGGTCAGTTGGCAAGAAACTGGTAACGTGAGTCAAAGCTGGCTTGGGTGGAGCCAAAAGTTACTGTCTGGTTGATGTCAGTGGAGCGGCTCATCTTCCAGGGAAGGAAATGGGAGGTTCCTTGTCCTTGAGAGTTTCCAGCTTAGCAGCTTTCAAGACTGCAGAGGCTGCTTTGTGGTCACAGCAGGAGAGCTCAAAGCAGGGAGGAGCTCATGGAGGACACTGCAGCCGCCTTGAAGATTAGCTCAGCTTCATGGTGCCTTAAGAAAAACTAGCAGTGACATACTAAGTGCAATGATTACCTTTTTAGTCATCACTAGAAGAGCTTTCCTTTCATTTCAGTCCAAGCCTTTGAGATCAAATAATTTCTGCAGCGTTCAGAGCTCTCTGGCCTCTCCAATTAATATGAATATCTGCAGCTGCTAAAACTGAATTATTTAACAGGGCAGAACACTGAACTAACAGCATGCACTGAAACAGCAGCAGCTGCTGTCTCTCGGATTTGCCTTTGCAACACCAATCAAAATCCCCAGGTCGCATCCTGGACCCAGTGTTTGGATCCTGACCCAGTGTGAGGCCAGTCCTGGCCTGGGTGCCCTTCTCCAGGACGTCCAGTCCTCCGCTTTAGGGCAGCCCTGGGTGCAGGAGACTCAGCAGCCACCACCTGAAATCAGTGCTGAGACTTCCTAAACTGCAGGCAGCTTTGTGGAGGGAGGGATCCCTAAAGGCTGCATCCTGCTGCTCGTGCTCTGCTGCCTTGGGCCTCCTCCCTCTCGCAATCACAGAGAAGTCGCTCGGAGCACTGGGACACAAGTGGAAGGTCAAGGTGAACAGCATTGCACCATCCACCTCTCTGTTATCAAAGGCCAGGAAAATGCGCCCAGTTTAAATGAGTCATTAGTGCCATTAAAATAAATAAATGTGTTCTGAGCTCATTTTTTATTCAGTTTTAATGATACAGAGGATTATTGCCAGCATGAGATGTGCAGCGCCTGTTAACAGCTCTTGGGTCTCCTCCACAGGTCTCTGTACACATATTTTTTAAGGATAAACCTACTAAGGTTGTGTAGGGTTTGTTTTTTGGTTTTTTTTTCTTGATCTACTGCTCTGAAGTTCCTTATTGTTAAGTGTTAGACAGGTTGCACCAGGTTACCAGATTTAAAACTGGTTTGGGAATCTTTTTCTACGCATTTTTCTATGTAGAAAAATACTTTCTTCCACACTCCGTTGCCAGAAAAAGACTGAATTGATCAACCTTTCACACTCAAAATGACATACATTGGGTTTCAGGGAGCAGGAAGTCTGTTGAGGTTTTCAGCTGAAATGCAGAAAAGCGAAAAATAATGGGAATTCATAGGTAAAACGGGTAACAAAAGCAAGGTGGAAGGACATGGCAGGCAGTTCCATTGACTTCATTTGCTGGGCCTCATGAAAGAGAAACCACCTGTGTGCACATTGTGTTTGTAGTGATAGGAAGCTGTTACTGTGCATAAAAAAAAATACATATTTGAAATGAAATCCTATCTTCTATTTTGTTTCTGCTTACAAACAAGCTTACAAAGCTGAAACGTGCAGCATCCTCTTTAACCCAGCCTCCTTCAGCAATCTGTTGTCAAATAAACCATTGCCTGGTTTCCTTACGGGGCTGACTCGGCCGCTTGTTTTTTCCCAGACTTCTCCGGTGCTGAGAGACTTCTTGGAAAGGATGTTGACCCGGGATCCACTGGAAAGAGCGACAGCCCAAGAACTCCTGGATCATCCCTTCCTGCTCCAGACAGGACTTCCAGAGTGCCTGGTCCCCCTTATCCAACAGTACCGAAAGCGAACCTCGACCTGCTGACTTTGTGCGAGGGGCAAAAAAGTCATTCTGATAACATCAAACCAGGAGACTGGGCTCTCGGGGGGCAGGTCTCATCCTGTGAATGGTGCTTGGGACTTGTCAGTGATCTTTTTAGAAGCTGAATGTGAATATTCTCCTTGCAGCCCCTGCCTTTTGTGGCGTCTCTTTTGCTGAAGACAATCACTACGTACTTGATCCCAGTAGGACCAAGTGTGGCTGCGGAATAAAGCGGGCATTTCATGACTTCTGAATTTCTTCTTCTGGAAGAAGGGCTCTTCTAAGCAGAGTCTAATGCTGTCCGTCTAAATGCACGCTCCTGCAAACCTTGGCTGCTGGCTACTGAGCTGGAACTGTATTTCCCCATGAGAAATGTGATTTTTTTTTTTCTATTAGTTGTACACTGGAGTTTTGAGTTGACTCAAACATACATTTTGGGGCACAGGTCCCTTTAAAAATGCACAAAAACTTCGCTTTTTTTTCATGACTTTTTCACAGGTGATTTTATCTTTCTGCTAAATGTGGACCTACAAAACTTGGACGTATTTTCCTGGGAAGCAGATGTGACGTACGTGTAATGTTTTCGGATGGCTCTTCTGCATCCATCTGCTTCTCTTCTGCTGAGGAATATATGTGGTTTAGTGGCAAGACTAACACGTGGTCAATCTTCAATCCATTTCATGAGCTTAAGCTTTTGGAGGGGAAATCCTTGGATACAGGCCTCAAAGGGGACGCTAAAGACGATCACTCCCACCCAACAGAATCCTATCGTTGAAAATTCACCATATGCAAAACCTCCAGCGATGGCTGGAGCAGGAGAGAGGTATTTTGCTTGATAAGGAGAGTCTTTGACAGCTTGTCCCTGTATTTTGGTTTCCAAGCTCTGCTCTTTCTAAGCCCTGTCTCCCAGGAGAGGCTGCTTGGAGGCAGCTGTTGGGGAGCACTTTGGGGATGCTCTCGGAGACTGAAAGAAAAATTTCCAGCTGTCACCTGTATCCCAGGAGAGAGATTTTTGTTTGCATGGTGAGACTGTTGGGTTACCCTCCATCCCTGCTGTTTGCTACTGCGAAACATGGGGAGAAGGGAACTTTTGCTGTATGTTTTGTTATTGGTATGGCCTTCCTCCCCACCCCCAACCCTTTGATGATGTTCAGAAGGTGACTTGTGGTCTAAGCGGCTCTTTCCATTATTTTTAAATGGCTAGATATTTTGTATGATAAATTTTTGATCGGTGAGAATAGTCAAGGTCATTGGACTCTAGGTCAGGATGTAACATTGTACAGTAACAGTGTATCTCGTTGTGAGTTCTCAAGAATATGGTCTTATATGTGAAACTGGGATCCCATTTTGAAACTGCAAAGCAAATTTATTGGAATTCAACTTGTTCTCGGGACAGACGTACTGGCTCAGAGAAACTAACCTCGCAATTTCATTTTCTTCAGAAGATGTTAAAGATCTCTGTCCTCGGCTATTCACTCCACTTATAGATCCTGCTTCAAAATTGAAGCCACCGCTAATTACTTGAAGTAATTTGGGATGGAATTCACCAGCACTGAGGCTGGGCACATAAATGGTGGCCACCAAGTCTGCTAAGCCTACAGGTTACCTCTGTAGACCGTGGTGAGAGAAGACTTCCCTCAGAGGGTGATTAATCTCCTGTTTCTTGGATAACTCCTTTAGGATGAAATCGCTGTCTCTTGGTGTCATTCTCCCCATGGACATAGAGCGAATGTTGGTTATTTGCCTAGACTAGATGCCTACGTTGAGAGTTAATGAAGTCAGTTGGTTGATGGAATCCTTTAACTCTTTCTTGGCTGCACTGGAAAAAAAAATGATGTAAAATGTTTCTGTATTCTAGATATACTGCTTTTTTATGCAAAAGAGCAGGGCTTAAAAAAAGTTTATAATCTGAAACAAATGTTCTGCTCGTCTGTAGTTGTGAATCCTTTGCACTTGTGTTTTAAATTAAAGTAGATCTCGATTCATTCGTATGCCTTTTGCAGTGCTGAGATCCTTAAAAACGTGTTTGGAGGTGTAAGCGTGGGAACCTCTAATCCTGTTTAACTCACCCATTCTGTGGCGATGTGGCTTATAAAACAAACAAATGCTCTGTAGCAAAAGGCCTGAATCCTGCAAGGAAGACTTCTTAGGGCAAAAGGTTGCCAGGTTTTAGCCTTAAAATCTTTATATTCTGGCCCAAGTCTGGCTAAATGCAGGGAGAAAAAAGGCCTTGAAAGTTTGTGTTTAAGTTTCTTTATAAATGTTTAAAGCTTATTGCTCTATTTGTGAAGAATACAGATTTTTTTTTCCCAATAGATAATTAAAGGCCTGGTTCTTGTTTTTGGCCTGTACAGTACAGACACTGCATGTCTCATTAATTGCTCCAAATCCTGCAATAAATCTGTGATTTTTATGAAAATTGAGGATCTGTCTCCAGGGTCAAGCACTCCTTCCCCAAGAATTAGGCAGCCGGGATTAAGATCAGCAGAGCAGGGTCAGTCTTTGCATCGCCACCATATTGAGAAGCCAGATTTCTTGCAAACCAAGTATATAAAAAAACCTATAGCCTTGGCTGTGAAGAGCTTTCCGTCTACTCTGGGTGTAACTATACTTGGAGATGCTGTTTTCTCTGAATAACTTCTCGTGTGTGCATTCAACAGCGACTTGCTTCTATCACAGGGTTTTCTGTTGTTTTGTGTCGTGTTTTATGTGGATCATCGTTCCGTTTTATTTTTGCCCTCCCTCTTCCCTGTCAGCCTTGGTGGTGTCGAGTCTTTCCTATGCTAGTGCAGTCCTGACAATCAACATGTATTAGGCCTTTGAAGATGGCAGGTAGAGTTTATAGGAGCAATTTGCCGAATCAAATGGGAAGTCTCTGCCTGCTGTCATCTCCCAGCTGAACTCGGGTGCGCAACGGCTGCCTCTCTCCTAGCAGCTCTGCGCTACCAAATGCGGCACCTCATCACCCCATCATGTCCAGTTCTGGGCCCCACAGTACAAGAGGGATGTGGAGCTTCT